CATCAGCATTACCAACGGCCATTTTCCTTTGAGACTCCATTAATTCCTGAAGCTCCTTCATTATTTCAATAGCAACGTTGAAATGCAATAAATCATAAATAGCAGTCTTTAGAATACGTCGAGCAATACGATCAATACGTGTTAATAAGAGAGTATGAGATGAAGCTAAAAAAAAAAAAAAAAAAAAAAATAGATAAAAAAAAAAAAAAAAAATAAGTAAAAATATAGTAAATGTATTAATGAAATCGATTCTTTTTTAAATTCCATACGTAAGAAAATAAAGAAGGGGGGGGAAATCAAATTTTTGTCATCATCTCTCCACACAACACCACTTATGTAAATTTATAGCTTACTTAAAATTGAAGAAGGCCAACTGTTCGAATGAACCATTCTTTTTTTAAAGTTTTTATTCCTTTTTGTAATGTTTTTTGGTTTTGTATTACCATGTAAAGACATAGATTCCATTTTATGTGTAATTTTATCCTTCACAAGTTCATCTTTATTTATTAATTTAGCTTCAAGGAATAACTTATTTAGAGGAGAAGCCTCATCATCAGTATCACTAATAGCTGGACTGACAGTCATTTTACTCAATGTCCTTTGACTACTACTCTTTTGAATCTTTAATGGAGGAGCTTGCATATCATCATCATCACTCCATCCATCATATAAAAATTCACTTAAAAGTTCTTGATATTGGTGAGATTTATACCAATTATCCAAGATCATCATAATTCTTTTATCAGCACGACTTTTTGCCTCTTCAAGATCTTTTAAAAGTTTTCGTTTAACTTTTGGAAAAGTAAATTCTGGAGAACCATCATCAATAATATGTAAATTACTAAGATGATTTTGTTCAGCATCTATTGATAAATCAGGGAAAAATCTACTACATCTTTGAAATGAAGGTTTTCGTTTTACAGAAGAAGAAAAAGCATATGTAGACTGTTCGTCATTTGTGATATAAGCATCAGAATCAGTTTCCAAGGAGTCAGTCTCAGAATCAGAATATAAGGAAGGGGTATTCGAAGGATAATTTTCAGACTTTAAACTTAATAATCGTTTAAGTTGCGAACTAGCACCGCTCTGGCGACGTTGTATTGGTTGATGAGGCAATTTTTGTTGACACGAAGTAGATACAATAGCATTTGATTGTATTGGAGAATGAGCAAATGATAGACTTTGTTGGTTTTGTTGTTGCTGTAGTTGTGTTGACGATCTTTGTTGCTGTTGTTGTGGTGGTTGAGATAGTACAAATAAGGAGTGATGCCTTTCTCTTTGATAAAAAGGAAAAGAACTCAAATATGGTGAGTTAGAGGAACTACTACTGGAATTTGAACCAGAGTTAGTTCCAGTAAATGGATTGCCAGAAGTCGAATAGTCGAAGTCTTCAAATGACGACCTATTATTTACACTAATATTTGTATCGCCCTCAGTAGCCGAGAGTAAGTTTGAGGGATAAAGATTCGATAAAGCCCGTGGTTTTATTGATAAGCTTTTCTTAAGTAAACTTTGACTTGAAGAAGTAGAAAGACTTCGGCGATTTCTCGCTTTTACAAGTTTACCTTCTATACCAGTTGCCTGTTGTGTTGCATGAACCGCCAAAGAGGCAGTGCGAAGTTGAAA